AGGAGATCCCACATCATGCAGCCCCTAAACTGACAGAAAATCAACCCCCCGGGTGGGTGGAGCACTTACCTGGCATGCTTGGTGCCCTGGGTTCTGTCCCAAGTGAGTATATGAGGAGACGGCCCTCAAACCATTGAGACACGATGGGTTTTCAAGTGAATTATGATTTCACCTCTGATGTGGGTTAGTTCAAAACTGAAAATAAGATCTTGGAGCCAAGCCTGGGGAGCATACATCTGTCTCCCAGCACCCAAAATATTGCAGCAGGAGAATCAAAAGTTCAAGGCCAAGCCCAGGCTGTGATATGGAGCATGCCTGTAATCCCAGCACTCAGGAGGCAGAAGGCAGGCAGAGATCTCCCAGTGCAAGACAGGGTCTACAGAGTGATTTCCAGGACAGCCAGGGCTACACAGAGAAACCCTGTCCTGAGAAACAAAAAACAAAACAAAGCCAGGCGGTGGTGGTGCACGCCTTTAATCCCAGCACTGGGGAGGCAGAGGCAGGAGGATCTCTGTGAGTTCGAGGCCGGGCTGGACCGACAGCCTCCAAAACAATACAGAGAAACCCTGTCTCGTAAAACCAAACCAAAACAAAACATATAACAGCAAAAAAGAAGTTCAAGGTCATTCTTGTTAATAGGTTTTCTGCCCCCCAGTAATAGGTTTCTCCACTGACACAGTAAGCCAGATCAAGCCGAATTGGAAAAGTATAACACCAGGCTTAATTGAGCAAAGCAAACTCCTGGGCAGGTTCTCCAGTCCCAGAGACTAATGCCAGAGAAGCCGCACCCGCAAACAAAAGCAGGGAGACTTTATAGGTTGTAGGCGAGGGGTAATGACATGCCTGCCACAAGCCGGGTTTGTGCCCAAGCGTGGCCCACAAGCTGAGCACTTCAGGAGGGGACTTGGGTGGCTGGCGACTTCAGGAAGCTGCAGCAGCTGCCAAGAATTCTGAATGGAGATTTTGGGCACCTTTCCTTTGTTTGGAGCCTCTCTGAGTGGGTGGAGTTTGGAGAGAGACAGAAAGGGGGCTTTCCGGATCATGCAGGAGTGAGCTGGAACACTTGTGAACACTTGTCTACACGACAAGTTCAATACCAGCCTGGGCTACTGGAGACCCTAGCACTGTGTAAGGAGCCAAAGGATGAGGGGTTCTTTGACCTTGGGGCTTCCTGGGCTACAGAGTGGAACCCCCTCTCAACAGAGGAAAGAGACATACAGTTGCTTATACGTTGCTCATGCTCCTTCAGCAACCCTAATGAAATGCATTGAGTCATTAAAAAATAATGATAAATGAAGTAGGAGAGAAGAGGGGACTAGTTATGAAGAGGGGGGAGGATCAACAAAGGGACAAGGTGGGGATCAAAATGCTATACGCATGTGTGAAAATGTCGCAATGAAGCCCATTATATAAAATTAATACATGCTAACAAATGAACCACAGAGACAGGACTGGATTCTGAGTCGTATAGCTCTATGATAGATGTGAGTGACAGTTAACATTTATAGGAGTGAAGCCCCCTGTCCTGCGATGGTTCCAGCTGAGGCAGGAGCGTTCCAGACTTGACCTGGGCCACAAGGGTGTCGCAGTGAGATTGAAGAGAAAAAGCTTACAGAAACGCACGAGGGTGAATGTCACAGGTAGATGGTGGGAGCCCTCATGCCGCCTTTCTCTGTCAGCATTGGGGCCGGGCATCACCAGTCAATGCGTTGGGGCCGGGCATCACCAGTCAATGGCTTTGAGCCAGTGGCTTGGGGTACAGCCCTTTTATTTGTTGCTTTGTCCTTTTGGAGACACCAGGGGAGGTGGGAGGTGGCCTAGAGCCCCAGGCAGCTCCCTTCACTTCTGTTTCTTCATGATGTTGGCCCAGGAACCCTGATTTTCTGTGGGCAGGAACCATTGTCCTCCTGCCAGCATTCCTCAATGTTCTGCTCCCCACAAGAAGAGAAAGCTCACCGGTGGGAGCTGCAAGCAGCTAAGAAAATCTTCCAAAGACCAGAGCGCTCTCTGCTTCATTTTCTTTGCCCCCACCTTGCCTTACTGATGGGACAGAAGAGTTGAAAGTATCTGTCATAGAGAGAACTATAATAAACCCATTTTTGGAGGTTCTGTTGATGGTTGAACAGGACCGCTAAAAAAAAAAAGCAGAAAAAAAGAAAGAATCCATCAGCTGGAGCAGAAACGGCACACGCCTTTAATCCAGCACTCAGGAGGAAGAAGCAGGCGGATCTCTGTGAGTTCAAGGCCAGCCTGGTCTACAGAGCAAGTTCCAGAGTAGTTGGGTAGTACAGAGAAAACTTCTCTCAAAAAACAAAACAAAACAAACAAACAACAACAAAAAAACCCCAAAACTACACAGTCAATTCTTTTTAAGTTTCCCTGGGATTAAAGGCTTGCATCACCACTATGCAGGCTTTAATTTTTTTAAAATTGTGTATCTTTGTGTGTGTTTGTGTAGGGTTACGGCAGATGAGCACAGGGGCCCTCAGAGGACAGAGGTATGGGAACCCTTGGAGCTGACGTTACGAGTGGTTGTAAACCACCCAGTACAGGTGCTGGGAATCAAAGTCAGGTCCTCCAAAAGAGCAGTAAGGGATTTTAACCAATGAGCTGTCTCCCCAGCACCTTTTAAGTTGCTGACAACATATGGCACATCTCAGACCTCAGCTATTTACCCACACGCCCCTCCCACACCTGTGAATTTACATCTCTCTATACGTATCTATACATCATCCACCCACCCACCCATCCATCTATTCATCTGCTCATCTATCGCTTACCCCCCTGCCCACTCACTCCTCCATCCAATCGCCCATCGATTTATTTACCCTCCCCCTCTGCCCACCCAGTCATCTAACCCTACCCGTCCACTCATCACTCTACTAATCCTGCGGTATGGACAAAAACATAACTTTAGCCTCTCCCGTGGAGCCCACTGGTATCAGACGCCCACCCACAGGCGTACACACATGCACAGCTACCTACTTGATGTGCTATATATGTCTGTAAGGACCAGAGTCCAGGGGCTGGAGAGGCGGCTCAGTGGTTAAGAGCACCGACTGCTCTTCCAAAGGACCCAGGTTCAATTCCCAGCATCCACATAGTGGCTCACCTCACGACTGTCCAGATGATCCGTCGCACCAGGCATAGAATGTGGTGCACATATCTGTACTTTCGGGCAAAATGCCCACACTCATGAACTAAATAAATCTCGAAAAAGAAAGAAAAGAGAACCAGAGTCCATAGAAATGGTGCTGCGTCCTTAGATTTCACAACAGAGGAGGGGGTAACATGTCTGTCCAGTAGCTGGGAACATAGCACAGCATGTTCGTTTCTGCTGGGGCATCTATAAAACAAACCACCACCAGGAGCTGAAAGTAGCTCCTCCCATACGCCTCATAATTAACTGTTTTTACTTTGGGGTGCCATGGGGACTTCCGGCACAGCAGTTTTCGTTTGGCACAGCACCATGAGGGAGGGGCAGTGCTCTACACCTATACTTTTAGAGAAGAGAGACAATTACGGCAGCTTGGGAGGGGCCTCAGTTTCCCCATCTGCCCAATAAGGCTCTGCTGGTTTGCTCTGTCCACTGTAAAGTGTCCGGGTGATGGTAACTCAGATAAATTGGCTAGGGGATCTGCCAGGGTATTTATTTGTCCCAGGTCCACTTCCTACGGTGTGAGCTGCCCCTGCTCTCCCACCTGTTACCTGACCAGTGAAGGAGGCTGCATGTAAGAACACCATCATTGCTTTGATAAAGCCCCAATTGCAGCGAGGCTTGATGTTCAAGGAAAAGGACACATCAATACTGCCTTGCTCGTCATTGGTTCTGCAGATATTCGCCGTGTCCTGAACATCAGGCAAGCACGGGCTGTAGATGCCGTAGACTCTAATAGAGACTAGTTCCCCACTCAGAAAGCGCTAAGTTCACATGGTGACTGTGTGTCATGGCACAGGTAGCATGTGGCGTGGACAGCTCCTCCCAAGTTGGCTCTCGGTCTTCCCTCTCCCTGACTGGAGAGTGTCCTACCCTATCACCAGCGATCACACACGTGTCCTGGCCTGCTCCCATGTTTTGCTGGTGGCTTCTGCCCATTTTACATAGTGGCTTGTTGTAGGAGGTGTCCTCTGTCCCCATCTTTTGTCATGAGGAGCCAGGTTGCTCACAGGAGACGCCCCATGTTTCCAGGCTGACCCCTGAGTTGTAGTTCAGCCTGGTAGACCCTACCAAGAACAGGGCTGCAGCCTGGAGCTCCTACGGAAGCTGAGTTCCCTCTGGGAATGACACCTAAGACAAGGGGAGAGAACCCAGCTGTGCACAGTTGTTCACGGGGCGTTCCTGGCAGAAGGACCAGAGGTGACCAGGTGGAGGATGAGGCCTGAGGGTTAGGACTATAGACAGCCAGGCCCTGTTAAGTCAACCTTTGAAGGGACCACAGGAAGCCACTGGGCAATTGTGAGTGAGGAGAGAAATGGGTGCATTTTCATGGTTATGCTTTAAAGTGTATTTACATAGTGAGTGTGTGTGTGGAAGTGCATCAATGCCGTGGCCTGATGTGGAAGTCAGACGATACGTGGATTCGGTTCTCCCCTTCCCCATCTCATGTAACGGTTGCCTTGGCTGTCCCGGAACTCGCTCTGTAGACCGGACTGGCCTTGAACTCACAGAGATCCGCCTGCCTCTGCTGGGATTAAAGGCGTGTGCCGCCACCACGCCCCGCTCTTTCATTTACACGGGTTATGGAGATCAAACGAAGGTCAACGGATTTTCGTGGTCAATACTTTACCTACTGAGACACTTCTGTTCGCCCCATTTTCAAGATTAAAAAAAATCGCCTCGTATGAACCGGGTATGGTGGCACACACCGTAATCCCAGCACTTGAGAGGCTGAGGCAAGAGGAGGATCTCTGATCTTTGTGATGTCAAACACACACACACACACACACAATCACTTTCTGGGGTGAAAGGAGAGCTGTTGTTAGGGGTCAGAGAGCCCACGAGCGCTGAGGCAGGACAGGCTGTAGCTGACCCTCTGTGGGAGCTGGGGACGTGGGGGGGCGTGGACGATGAGGACGACAGCGACAGAGTAATGTCAGGAGCATCTGGAAGGCAGAGCTCACAGTCGGCTGCTCGTGACTCAGAAGATAGCCAGCAGATGAGGATCCCGGAAGACGGGTGAGAACCAGGCTAGGGCTGCAATGGCTTTGACCAAGAAAGCAGGACTCAACCCTGAGCCTCTCCCCGGACTCCAGGAGTCTGTGCTGGGCCACACCTTTAGGGCGGTCCTTAGGGCTGGTCAAGGCTTGGGATTGGTTCCTTGAGATGCTGCCCGGGAAGAGAGGTGTCACGGGGGCTGTCTTTGCCAGGAACAGAAGAGAAGCCTGACTCTTGAGGAAGTCGGGGAGGGGAGAGTCTATGGGCGTGGCGTGGGGTGGGGTGGGGTGAGGTGGGGTGGGGTGGGGTGGGGGCGGCATTCGAATTTTACTGACTGTCTACACTAGGGGAGGTCAGGGGCTATAGTGGGACTGCAGGAAAAGTGTGGGGGATGGTAAATTCCTTTTTTGTTTTGTAAATAGTCATTTGAAAGAATTAAAATGACAACAGGGAGTTTACTGAGCCATTATTATGCAGTAGGCTGAAGGTTAAAGGGTTAGGGCTCCCGCTTGCCAATTCCCAAAGCAGTCTCGGGGCGCATCCCTCCTGGCAGCCCCAGCTGCACCACCCCCAACACTCTGGGGCCCGTCAGACCCAAGCTGTGAGTTCCTCGGACCAGAGACTAAAGGCGGTCAGGGGCCATCAGTTACAACTTCTGGCCTACAGGGTGCCATCGCCCCTCTTCTCAAGCAGCCCCCAGAGAGGTTGAACCCAGAAGGTACTCCACCAGTCCCACAGGACAGAGTCTCCTCCTGGCACCAGGTTGGTACAGTCTGTTTTTCTTTGGGGGGGTTGTTTTTTGCCCCCGTAGCCCAGACAGTTTCTCTGTGTAGCTCTGGCTGTCCTGGAACTCATTCTGTGGATCAGGGTGGCCTCAAACTCACAGAGGTCTGCCTACCTCTATCCAAGCGCTGGGATTAAAGGCGCAGGCTACAGCCACCCAGCTTGGCCCAATTATTAATGGATTAAAAATGACCAACTCTTGGTGGCCCTTGGTCCAATCTGGAGGGCCACATGTGAAAAGATAATCATGTCAGATAGTAAGGAAAATTTAAAAATTTACAGTGTGTGTCCGTCGGTGGTGGCGCACACCTTTAATCCCAGCACTCAGGAGGCAGAGGCAGGCGGATCTCTGTGAGTTTGAGGCCAGCCTGGTCTACAGAGCTAGTTCCAGGACAGCCTCCAAACAATACAGAGGAAACCCTGTCTCGAAAAACCGGAAAAAAAAAAAGAAAAGAAACCCCAGGCCAGGCGGTGGTGGCGCACGTGGCACGCCTTTAATCCCAGCACTTGGGAGGCAGAGGCAGGTGGATCTCTGTGAGTTCGAGACCAAGCCTGGTCTACCAAGCGAGTTCCAAAACAATTCGAGACAGGGTTTCTCTGTAAACAAAACAAAACAAACAAACAAAAAACAAAAAAACAAACAAAGAAACCCCAGAATGGTGTAATTTTTAGAGATTTGTTTTTTATTATTTTAAAATTGTGTGTGTGTGTGTGTGTGTGTGTGTGTGTGTGAAAGAGAGAGACAGAGAGCGCAGATGCCCTGCAAATGCTAGAGGTGTTCCGTCTCCTGAGGCAGGAAGAGACCTATGTGGGCGCTGGGAGCTCTGGTCCTCTGGAAGACGAGCCTGTCCTCCTAACCATTACTGCTGCATGGTTTAGGGTGATTATCCTGCCTCCACCTTCCCAGGTCTGGGATTACAAGTATGAGCACCACACGCACCTGGAAACTGCTTTTCATAGTTCACTGTGCCATATTTTCCCTTTCCCTAAAGTAACAGCGTTACGATAAAGCTTGAGGGGACCTTGGTAGATTCCAAGGCAGGCGAGGGTGACCGAGGCGGAGGGACAAACACGCCAGGCAGACAGAGCCTAAGTGAGAAGCTTTATTAGACATAGGAGGGAGGAGGAAGGACATAGAAAAGAGACAGAGAGAGAGGACGGAAGAGGAGAGGGAGATGGGAAAAGTCCTGTCTGTCCCGGGGGAACAGCAGGAAAGAGAGAGGGAAAGAGAGCACAAGTGGGCGGGGTCTTTCTTTTAAAGGGGTCCTTTGCACCTGCGTGCAGACTATGCAACCGTGGAGCCCTGAGCTGATCAGGGCAGGCCTGAGTGCATTCTGCAGCTGACAGAGGCAGGCCAGCATGATGCCTGAATCCTTACAGATAATGCTTACAGATGTGTTCATTTTTATGGTAGCATACTAATCCAGCATATATATATGTATGTATATATGCATATCATTGCTTCCTTTGCTAATAAGTTATGCTTGATGAGGCACCCCTGTAATCCCAGTGCTTGGGAAGACTGAGGCAGAGGATGACTTCCAATACAAGGTCAGTCTGGGTTGCATAGTGAGACCCTGTCTCAAAGCAAATAGAAAACCCAAACTTAGAACATAACCAAAGCCAGCCTCCTAACTGTAGTGACATGGTACCTGTTGTTGACCCTAGGCAGCCTGGAGGGCCAGGCCTCCTGGGCAGCAATTGACCTAGGGTGGCTGCCAAGTGACAGTGACATCTGCAGCTACTCCTGCCCAGCCGAGGGTCTGTCCAAAGGCCCAGTCCCAGCTGGCCTGGGGCCAGCTGCCTTCTCTGCAGCCAGGGATAGAACGCCAGCTGGCTGTGATTTCAGCGCGGATGCCAGGAGCCTAGGCGCAGTGTGTTCTCCTCACTGATGCTCTCGGGCTTCCAGGAGCCAGCTAACTCCCGGCTGCCCTGCATCTCCGCCCAAGTATAGAAGCTTTAAGTGGGTTGAGCGTGCCGGGTTCCTGAATCAGGAGACAGTAACCTTTATTCAGACTACTTGCCACAGGGAACATCCCCCGCCTGCCGCCCCTCCCCCACCACCATCAGGGTCTTTTCTTCTCTCTGCTGTAGTACTCTAGACTTATGATTTCTGATTGATAGTGCTGATAATTCACAGGCTGACCAGAAAGTACGACCAGGTAGGCGGTAGAGTGCTTGCCTAGCATGCGTGAAGGCCCGAGGTCTACCCACTCACTGTATAAACCAGGTATGGTGGTCCCCCACCTGTGACCCTAGCACCTGGAACGTGGAAGCAGGAAGATCAGGAGCTCAGCTTCATCCTCCACCAGATGGTGGCTTAGAGGCAGAGGCTGCCTGGAAGCTGCCAGCCTTGCAGCAGCAACTGGGTAACTGGGTAGCTGTGGTGATACATTACTCATGATTTATTAAAGCTTGCCTGAGGATTCAGAAAGCTATAGAAGGTGAGCAGCGGTGGCACATACCTTTAATCCCAGGACTCAGGAGAGAGCCAGGTGGATCTCTCTGAGTTCAAGACCACCCTGGGCTACCAGAGAGTGAATCAGAACTCAGGGCTTTAATCCCAGGGTTTTTTAAAAAACTTTTTTCAGTGACTTATTTATTTTTATTTTATGTGCATTGGTATTTTGCATTCGTGCATTTCTGTGGGAGGATCTCAGATGCCATGGAGGCAGAGTTATAGACAGTTGTGAGCTGCCATGTAGGTGCTGGGAATTGAACCTGGGGCCTCTGGAAGAGCAGCCAGTGCTCTTAGCCGCTGAGCCATCCCTCCAGCCCTAATCCCAGGTTTGAGAGGTATAAAATGTAGAGAGGTGGCCGGGCGTTGGTGGCGCACGCCTTTAATCCCAGCACTCGGGAGGCAGAGGCAGGTGGATCTCTGTGAGTTCGAGGCCAGCCTGGTCTACAAAGTGAGTTCCAGGACAGCCTCCAAAGCTACAGAGAAACCCTGTCTCGAAAAACCAAAAAAAAAAAAAAATGTAGAGAGGCATTCAGTCTGAGAGTTAGTCTCTAGCCGTGTTGAGGAGAGCATAGCAGTCTGAGTGACTCTGAGGAGCAGTCTGAGGATTGCCCCTTTGGTCTGAGCTGAGGTAGAGTAGGCTGCCCTGCTTTTCTGATCTTGAGCTTGAATATCAGTCTCTAGGTCTTTTATTTTTCATGTTACAGGTAACTCAGTAATGTCTCCTATCTCCCCCCCCCACATCCCTGTGATGTTGGGGATTTGAACCCAGAGCCTTCCACATGCCAGGCAAAAGCACCTCTGACCTATACCTCCAGTCCTTTTAGCATAGGCGCTCGCTAAATTGCCTAGGCTGGCTTTGAGCTCGTAATCCTCAGTCTTTGGGGCCAGATCTGAAATCATAGCCAGCTGCAACCGCAGCCGTTTGACTGAGCACACACGCTGGGCTCTCTGAATTTCCCTTGTACAATGGAGTGAGGCTGTTGGGGTGGGGGGCAGGGTGTTTGAATGCCATTGGCTGTCTGAGTAAGAATCCACGTTAGCACGGCTCAGCACCCAGATCACCTGCCCAGGAGTCAGGAGACAGAGTTGGTTCCAGCAGGCTGGCCAATGGTTCAGTTTAGCTCTCTACCCTTAATCTCTTTATCATCTAAAGGACCCATGCTTCCTTCTCCTCGGCTGGCTCCCCTTCCTGCTGGCGGGCTGGGAAAGCCAGTGGTGGGGTCGTGAGGAGGGTTTTTGTCAAGGAAGACATAGTGAGGGCCCGGCTGCAAGTCGCTGAGCAGGAGGGGGGCCGAGGGGAGGTGGAGCCCTGGCTGTGAGAGTATTGACCTCTGCATGTGTGTGCTCCGCACGTGCACGCTCCTCCACAATTGCGAGACTCAGGCACACATCCCCAGCCAGTGCACCCACCGAATGCCCCAGGGTCCCTCCCACCCAGATGAAGAGATGGTCTTGCTTGGGTGCAGCTGTGGCCCAGGCCTTCTGCAGCCCTTGGCCTGGAGGTGCAGGGCTGGCAGAGTTGCCAGGAGGCTGCTCAAGCAGGGGCCGTGTGCACTCAGGCCGGCCGGGCTGGCAACGCCATCTGTGGCCTCTCGTCACAGGCTGCCAGACTGGGCAGAGCCACGTGCCGGGCTGGAGGGAGCAGACCCTGGTGAATGGCCGCTTTGGAAAGGGGGCCATTGTTTGCCATGCAAACAAACAAGTTAGCTGAGTAGCAAGGCTTGGCTTTGCACTCAGCGACCTGACCCTGCCACAGGAAGGGCTGAGCGGTCCCGGAGAGCAAAGGCTTCCCTGCAGATGAGGGCTGGAAGGCCACTCACTGTCTCTTTTCAGCTCTCACAGTCAGCCAGCAGGAGCTTCCCTCGGATGGTCTCTTGCATCCTAAGTGCCTCTGCTTGGTCGCCAGTCATAGGATAGCTGACCCGGGCTCCAGGTGCACTTGAGAGCCGATCCTGGAGCCCACAGAATGTGCAGGGCCAATGAAAGCTGCCTTGTCATGTCCAGTACACTGGGAAACAGCAGCTTCAGTTCCTCAGTCTGAGTTCCCAGTGGCAAAGTGCGGTTGGAAAGATTAAAAGGGAAACACGTGAAAACATTTTTAAAATTATGTCTCTGTCTTCCCCTCTGCCTTTTCCTCTGACAGGGTCTCAGGCTGGCTTCAGTCTGCCCATCCTCCTGTCTCAGCCTCCCCACCGCACCACCACACCCTGCTGGACGATTCTCAAATTTTAAATCGCCAGACATTCTGAGCAACCAAAGGAACTCTGTGCCACCCTGCTCCATCCTGCTTGAGACATGCATGACTCAGGCCAGGGTATCCACCCTGTAAGTGCTACCCACCTGTGTTAACCACTTACTATCCACCTAGGTTATCAGATCAATTTGTTCATACAAGTCTGGTTGTGTGTGTGTGTCTGTGTGTGATGTGTTGTGTTAAGCTGGATTTGTACTCAAGTGAATTTCTGATCCTCCTGCCTCCACCTCAGTGCTGGAACCATAGGTGAGTGTCACACAGCTGGTTTATGCCACGCTGGAGACCGGACTCAGGGCTTCGTGGGTGCTAGGTAAGCACCCTACCACTGCGTTATAGCCCTGCCCTCTTCTTTTCTTGATAGCATCCATTCCGCTCCACACTATGTAGACTGTACCTCGGTTTGTTTAAAGTCAGCTGTCAGGGCTGGAGAGAACACAGCTGCAGGAGACCCAGGTTCAACTCCCAGGACCCACATGGCATCTCAGAACCATCTTTAACTCCCGTTCCAGGGGATCCTGCACATACGTGGTGCATAGACAGGCGTGCCGGCAAAACATTCATACGCAGGACTATGTAAGTGATATAGATGCCCACCCCTCCACCGCAGTCAGTGAGCCGCCTCCCAGGACTCAGCTGCCTCCCCCTGCAGCCTCTTTGATTCCTCCAAGCCCCTCCTCCTTCTGCTGCAGTGACCTTGTGCAGGCAGTTTCCATCAAGGAAAAGGAGTCTAGTAGAGCCTCTACTCTTCCAACCCCTTTGAATGTGACAGCCTGCCTTCTGCCGGCACTGAGGACTCTCCCCATAGAGGAATTCACAGGAATGGGCAGACACCTTTATGCCATGCAAGGAATCACAGATGATAAGAAGAAAGTAGTGGCCGGGCAGTGGTGGCTCACGCCCTTGATCCCTCCTGAGTAGGAGGCAGAGAGAGGCAGATCTCTGTGTTTGAGGCCAGCCTGGCCTACTTCGTGAGTTCCAAGACAGCCAGAATTACACAGAGAAACCCTGTCTTGAAAAACAAAAAAGAAAGTAGTGGTGAAAGCATTTAGGAAGAAATGTGCCTGCAGTTGAGCATCCAGAATATAGAGAAGTGATTTGGCTACAGGGTAACTCTTAGTATTCAGGCATCTGCACTGGCATGTCCTGGGGTTCTGAGAGGATATGTCCTCAGCTGCAGTCACTAAGAGCACCACCTGTGCATATTCACTATGTTCCCTTTTAAAAGGGCTCTGCTCACCCCCATCCCTCTCTCTTTCTTTTTCTCCCTCTCTCTGTTCTGCTCTCTCTCCCCCTCTTTCCTCCCCTGCTGCTCCTGTCTCTGGAAGCTGGTCTTTCCCTTCCCCTAATAAAACAAAACAACAAAAACCCTCTGCTTGAACTCTGTATCATGGCATCTTTCTCTCGAGAGCTACTTTTAAATTGCAACAGTAACCAATACAAGAACAAATGGCCAGTTCCTGATGGAGACCGGCTGGCTGAGGACATTCTGCTCAAGGCTCTGGGGTTTTAAGTACTGTCTGAAGCTTAAGTGAACATGTCCTTACAATGAGTAGGATTTCCATTCTGTCCTTAGCAAAAGGTTTAAAAACCTTGCAGCTTGTATAGTATAATTATTTGGGTCCACTTTTAACTTAGTGTAACTCATTTTCTTATCTTTACATCCAGGGTTCCTCTGTGTAACAGCTCTGGTTGTCCTGGAACTTGCTCTGTAGACCAGACTGGCCTCGAACTCAGAGATCCACCAGCCTCTGCCTCCCAAATGCTGGGATTAAAGGTGTGCGCCATCACCGCCCAGCAGTGGTAACTCATTCTTGCAATTAACTGAGAAGAGCCAAGAAAAAAAGAAAAGAAAAACAAAACACTTCCATACAAAAAAAGCAATTAAAAAAATTGTCTGGCTACCCCATCATAACTTCGAGGTCCTATCCATCAGTGTCTCCGTGCCAAGCGATGTCCCTTAGAACAAGGAGCAGCACTCATTCATTCATGAGTGATGGAAGTCAAGCTCCAAAGCTATCCTCACTTACCAGGCGCACTGCTAACCATTGTAGTGCCTTAGTTCCTACTCCGGTCGTTAGACCAAAAGCCAGGCCAGAAGAGACGTCAGGGAGGAAGGATTTAAAAGTCCTGAGGTGAAGGGTATGGTCCATCCTGCAGGGGGAAGGCCGGGTGGCTGGGTGGCTCTCAGCTGCGGTAGCAGGAGGGTGTGAGGCTGCCTGTTCACACTTGGCAGATCAGGAAGCATGGGTGCTGGCACGAGGCTCTCTCTCCCTTTGTCCATTTGATTCGGTCCAGGGTCCCAGCCGTGGGTTGGGGCCGCCCAGTCTTTTCTCAGTTAATGCCCTCTGGAGACACCCTTCCACTGCTAGAATTCCTTCCCTGGAGGAAACGCACAGCAACATTTAACTCCCCCAAGAGGTCCCAATGACAAACCAAGGCACAGTTTTACCGGAGTTCACACTGGGAAACCAGCGAATTTTTGGGCTTCCTTTCACAACCTAGGACATAGCTGTGGTTGACTCCTCTTCTTCTTCTTTTCTTCTTTGTTTCCCCCAAGACTGTCCTGGCTGTCCTGGAATTCTCTCCAGACTAGGCTGACTTTGAACTCACAGAGATCCGCCTGCCTCTGCCTCTGAGTGCTGGAACTAAAGGCGTGCACCACCAATGCCCAGCTGTATTCTTGACTTCATATCCAACCTTGTCCATCTTTCTCCAGAGTGCTCCAGTAGAGCAGGGTTTTTTTGTTGTTGTTGTTTTGTTTTGTTTTTTTCCTGCGACAGAGTTTCTCTGTTTAACAACCCTGGCTGTCCTGGAACTCGCTCTGTAGACCAGACTAGCCTCGAACTCACTGAGATCCCCCTGCCTCTGCCTCCTGTGTGCTGGAATTGTACACATGGAGTCTTCAGAACCGTTAACTCCTCAGGGTGGGCCCAGATTCCTTGTCACCCTGAAGCCTCTGCTAGTTGGAGGGCAGTGCCATCTAGCAGGCTGCTGCCGTGCTCTGCTGCTCTCCTGGGCTCCCGGAGCATGTCCCCAGTCTGGGTCAGCATCCAATACAGCACTCTGAGGTGTCCTCAGGGCGATGTGTACAGGTCTGAACCTGAACCAGTGGCACTGCTGGCCTGGGGACCAGCCATTCTTCAAGTCCAGCTGTGATCAGGTGACCCACGCTAAGCTAATTGGAGCTCTTCCCCAGGGTTCCCTTGGCTCCGGACAGGCTGCCACAGTCTGTGAATTGGTCCCAGTGGCTGTGTCCCTGGCCTCGGTGATGGCCATTTGTGAGGATAAAGCTGTTACCTAGAGAGAATCGAGGCCACGAAGCTGCTGAGAAGAGCCAAGCCGGGCTTCTTGACTGTCCTTCCCACGTTCTTCCTGAAGTGTCTCTTGTTAAAATGTTTAGGTTTATCCAGTAACGAGACACAGACCGTGACTCAATGATCCCACGTGGAGTTTATTGGTGGATGCGGAGGGAAAGGGGGGTGAGAGGTAACCAACCCATGCAGAGCAGAGAGAGAGAGAGAGAGAGAGAGAGAGAGAGAGAGAGAGAGAGAGAGAGAGATGAGAGTAAGTGTAAGAGAGCATTAACGGGCAGGAGTCAGTCCTTTAAAGGGGTCCTTTGCACCTGCGTGGTTCTCACAGAACTCTGGGCTGGCCAGAGTGTTGCCTGAGTGCATCTTGCCAGGTAACAGGGCATGCCAGCGTAATGTGTGAACCTTTCATCTCTAATGCCTGCTTCCTGGTCTGTAGTCAGTAGGGACAACAAGAAGTTCTGGAGAGTGATGGCACTTGCCCGAATTCTCAGCAAGGCCAAGCCAAGGTTCCCACCCAGCCGAAAGGTGTGCCAGGTAACCCTGCCTCATCTGCCCCAGGCCTGAGCAGGAGGGAACCTCTCAGACTAGACTCGGGGAACCCCTGCCTTAGGCCTTTTTGTCTCAGAATTGTTGAGGGTACCCTCTGGGCAGCTGTTATCACCTAGGAAGGAAAGTGACTAGGGCTCAGAGCCTCCCTCCCTCAGGCCAGAGGCTTCAGGGCCCACAGGGGAAACTACTCACACCTGTGGAACAAGAGCAGGCTTTATGAGAGAGTCCCTTCATCCAAAACCGGGCCTCGGGTGGCAGGCAGCTAAACAAACAGCTGTAAAGCACAGCCTGACAAGGAAGCCTTTAAAAGATCTGCCAGCCCTTGCTCGGGGAGCCCTAGCCCCAGAGGCCAGGCACATGGAGGCTCTTGGTGGCTTGGATCACCAGCAGTCTAGAGGAATAGCTGGCGGGCTTCTAGGAGCGTCTGCCCAAGTCACCACCAAAGGTGAGGCGTACTCATCGAGGGGCAGCGGGAGGTTGTCTCTGAGAACAAGAAGGCCCCTCTTTGCCAGAGTTAAGCCACCTCAGGATGCAGAGAGAGAGCCCAGCTCACCACATCCCCTTGGCGAGCTCGGGCCACAAAGGAAGGAGCTTTCGACATGCCCTTGTTTTTTTTTTTTTTTTTTTTTTTTAAATCAATGACTTCCATTGTAGATGCACGGAGTCTCAGCCCCAGGAGTTGGTTCTGTGCCCTGGCCAGATTCTGAACCTGGGGATAGGGTTCCTCTGCTGCCTCTCTTAGGGTTGTGAAGTTCTGCCGAGTCTGAGAAGCCATCTCAGAAGGCTGCCAGCGGAGTAGCCACTTAGACATCGTCCCTTGACGCCTCACAGCCTTCTGCCCGATGGTCCCCATTCCAGACGGAGAGAGGGGTTGGGCAGCGACTGCTGTCCCCACCACCTGTTTTCCTAAACAAAGTTTTATCAAAACAGCCCAGCCCTCTCTTGTCGAGATTGCTGATGGTGGGCATGCGGCAGCTGAATAGAATAGAGACACTACTGATTACACACACACAGCCTCCCACTTCCTCCCTGGCCCTTTAAGGGAGAAAGGGACTGAGATTCTCGTTGAGTCATTTTTAGAGACCGGGTCGCAGCCCTGCTTAGTTTCAATTTTTCTAAGTAGCCACAGTTGAGGTTGGAACCCAGCACCTCACACGTGCTGGGAGAGTGCTTTACCAACTGAGCCACACCTCCAGCCCTTATGCTGCTGGAGACAGAGACTCAGTATGTAGCTCAGGCTGTGCGGGTACTTTCCGTGAAGCCCAGGCTAGCCTTGAATTGGAATCCTCCTGCCTTAGGTATGAAGGCTGGGATTACCCGGTGTGTACCACCATGCCTGGCTGGCCTTTTCATTCTTTATCCCCATGACACATTGTTCACTTGACAAACTTTCCCTGAGCATCTGCTGTGCCTGAAGCCCTGAGCTGGGAGGGAAGGAGAGGGGTGCCTGAGGCAGACAGGTGGCTGCCCCCTGGGGAGCTGAGGTGGCCACATACATCTCTAATTTTGCAGTCGGGTTGAAAGATGCAAAGGGGAAGGTGGTATCTTCTGAGGACCCAGCCCAGCAGGCGGGGGCAGACCTGTAGCTTGAGTGATAAGTTGGCAGGAACCGGAGGGTGAGTGGGGTCCATTAGGTCTCTGGGTGGGTGTAGGAGGAAAGCTCTGCTTCTAGACAGGCCCTCTGGGCAAGGCAGGATAGAAGTGACTCCTTCCAGGAATAGAGGAGTTAGGGCTTGGGAGGCACAGTGCTCCACCATGGCTGGGTCTGGGGGGAAGTCAGGGACGAGACCCTTTCGTGGAGGCACTAAGGTGGCCCGGAGTTCAGTCTTTTTTTTTTTTTTTTTTTTTTTTTGCAGGGTGGGGTTCGAGGCAGGGTTTCTCTGTGACTTTGGAGGCTGTCCTGGAACTCTCTCTGTAGACCAGGCTGGTCCCAAACTTCAGAGATCTGTTTGCCTCTGCCTCCTGTGTGCTGGGATTAAAGGCGTGCACCACCAACACCTGGTGACTGATTGCTGTTTTAATAAAGAGACTAGAAGTTTCAACCAATCAGAGTAGCCACCTGAGGTCCTGGGGAGATGGCTTAGTGGTTAAGACTCTTGGCCTCAAAAGTGTGAGGGCCTGTGTTCAGATCCCCCAGATCCACATAAAAACATTTTGTTTTTCCAAAAAAGGGCACCTGGGGAGGACCTTGGATTTTCACAGGACAGGTTGGGAGGACTGAAGATGACTCCAGGATTAGGGGACCTATGTGGATATCTAGAACCTTTGGGGACAGTTCTGAGAACCTCCCCTCCACTATCTGTGCCTAAAGCTTTGTTTGTTTCTGTGGGAAGCTGTTGACAGCATCTTCTGACTTGAGCTGGAGTTAGCCATTTATTCATCATTCATTCATTCACAGATCCGTTTACTCTTATGTTTGGCAGAGCCAACTTGACTGCATGTATCTGCAAACCTAACTTAGAATCTTAAAAGTTGGGCTTTAACCAGGTACGATGATGGCACACACCTCTAATCCAAGCAGAGGCAGGAGATGTTCGTGCGTTTGAGCCCAGTGTGTGTGTGCACGTCACAGATCAGAGGACAACTTCACAGAACTGGTTCTCCTCTTTCAACTTTGCGTGGACTTCAGGGCTCGCCTCCCGACTGTCAGGCTTATGTGTCAAATGCCTTCACTTGCTCAGTCATCTCTTGGGCCTGCACAGAGCTAATCTAAAGACAAAGGATAAAAAGAATGATCTGGCCGGGTGTTGGTGGCACAAGCCTTTAGTCCCAGCACTCGGGAGGCAGAGGCAGGTGGACCTCTGTGAGTTTGAGGCCAGCCTGGTCTACAGAGTGAGTTCCAGGAAAGCCTCCAAAGCCACAGAGAAACCCTGTCTCAGAAAAAAAAAGGAGAATGATCTGAGAAACAGCAAGAATGCAGGAGTGGGCCGAGCCTGGCTTCAGGGGACGCTAGGATGACAAATGCTGCAGAGAACAGTTTTTCTTGTCCTGTCTTTGTCAAGTGCTTGGCCAGGTGCCTGTAGCCCCAGAGGCCACCTGAGCCCAGCACAAGGGTCCTCGGGACCCAGGGTTACTGACTGGTGAGTCCCTGGTGGTGAGTCCGGTGGGTTATGTGTTTCTCGGTGTATCCAGGAGCCGGAGACCTTACAGGCTCGGGTCCTCGTGTTCCCCTTGAGCTCATGGGCAAGAGAAAGGCAGGTTAACAGACAAACCGAGGGGAGCAATAAAGTGGGAGAGAGTTGAGTGGACACCGCCTTGGAACCGCAGAGTTGGCTGTGATGGAGGCCATTTGGCACCTCAGGCCTGGGGCTGAACTGAGGTCATCTCAGGCTCTCAGGGAGCCAGCATTCCAGAGGACCTCTGGTGGGTCCTTCCTCAACCCCAGTAGGAGTCTAGAGAGCCTCCTCCCTCCCTCTAGTCACCCTCCCCCCCCCCCCCAGTCCAGCCAAGGAAAGGAATGAAATTAACTGCCCATTGTTTCTCGACACTTCCTGAGGACAACAAAGGGCCTTTTTTTTTAACCAGGGAAAGTGAAGTGAGCCAAAGCTGCATGCAGAACCTGGAAGTCACCGAATTCGGCTGTGGTGTCTGTGCCAGATGGGAGACACCCAACAGGCCATGTTCAGAGTCAGAGCTGAAACAGGTAGACTATACAAAAAGCCCAAATATGGCCTTTCAGGCGCACTGTGCTGAAGTACATGGCATGGACTAGGTACTCAGAAATAGCCCACAGGGAAGGATCGGCGACTGTGGGACCCCATCCCCTTCTGCATTTCCCCGTTCTTCTGCTAGGCCCCCTTGGTTGTAAGCCAAGGGGAACAGAGACGGGGATACTTCTGACTAGGTCTAGGTCTCCATCTTCATCTGCCTCCAAGATGCCTCTCAAGAAGAGAGTTCCAGGCGGAGAAGGGCAATGATAAGTCTATGGAGGCAGAGAACACGCCAGGACCAAGGGGCCAGCAGTGAGACAGGGCCTCACAGGGGGCAGGAGACAGGAGATGAAGCTGGAGTTGGTTGTTCCCAAGCTTGGTGGAGTGTGGCGGCCATCCAAGGTGGCTCTGTCTCATACCTGCTGCCCCAGTGCTTTTTACAGTGTCCCAAGATAGGGGCAGCCAGGTCCCCTGATGGCTCTAGGGGGAGATTCTTCTTTGTCTCATCCAGCTTTTATTTCAAGGGGATTCTTCAAGACAGGGTTTCTCTGTGCAGCCCTGGCTGTCCTGGAGCTCGCTCTGTAGACCAGGCTGGCCTAGAACTCAGTGAGTGCCACCACTGACCAGTTCTCTTCCAGTTCTTGATGGCTTTGTAGGTTCTCGGGGCTCTTTAGCTTACCTGACGTCCCTCTGCCTCTGTGTCTCCCTTGTCTTCACCGAAGTGTGGCTTCTTGTCATATAAGGATATCAGTCATTTCATGTAGCATTTGTTCTGGTCCAGCATGACCTCATCTTAATTGTGCCCAGGAAGGCTCTCTCCAAACAAGGTCACCCTCTGAGTTCTGGCTGGACAGTGACTCTGGGAACAGGGTGTCCTTTAACTCAAGACAGTGGCTGGACATGCAACTCATCTGCGCTGGCACAAGGAAGAGCTTAAGGAGCCATCGGGACACAGGAAGCGGCGAGAAGCCGGAGAGCAGGGAGGGCGAGGATGTAGAGGGAGGGCAGTGATGGAGCAGAGGATGTTCAGGGTGGGAAAGGAACAGGGCTCGGAGAGGTCCAGGACGGCAGCTGAGTAAAAGGCGGCTTCAGGGTGCTGGCGGCTTCTGAGCCAGGCCGTCGGTGACTGGAGTTCAGCGAGGCTCACAATGTGGTAGGAAGTCAGAAGCGGGAGGGGGAGATTTGAAAGCCCTGACAGCCGAAGGCTGGCACCTACACGCGTGCCAGGAACTTGCCCCTGGCAGCAGGAGCTCACTGAGGACACCCCAAACCTCTTGGCTCAGTGCATGGACACCCCTCAGAATTGCTGATGGCTGTGACCTGGAATAAACACCCCTCCCATGAGCTCATGCTTCAATTAGGCCTCCACCCGCCTCTCTCCCTCTCTCCCTCCCTCCCTTGGGCCTGGTCCCCAATGCTGTCTGGGGTACTGACTAGTAGCAGTGGCTGTTGGTGTTTTGGACAGGGGTCTCGATCCCAGTATGTTGGGGGGGGATCTTCCGCTTTTCCCCCAGAGGTTGCCCCCTGTGGATCGTCTGTGCTGCTGGGGTGAAGAGCAAGATGTTGGGGCTGCCTCCCATGGGAACTTGGGAGGTTAGATAGAACAAACATTTGCTGAAGGTTCTGGAAGCCAGGCACCTGAAGTCAGTGTTGCTGTGCCTCCCTGGGAGGCTCTCTGTGCCCTTTCTGTGTCTCCCTCCTTCAATGCCATCATCTTCCCCCCCTCCCCTCAAGGCAGGGTTTCTCTGTATTGCTTTGGAGGCTGTCCTGGAACTCTCTTTGTAGACCAGGCTGGCCTCGAACTCACAGAGATCCGCCTGCCTCTGCCTCCCGAGTGCTGGGATTAAAGGCGTGCGCCACCACCGCCCTGAGCGCCATCATCTTCATGGCACCAGTACTCATCCCCTCTTCTCACACATGTTCAGACATGTGACTGTAGGGCACACTGATAAAACGGGAATTTTCCGTCCCCCTGCTTCCTGTTGGACAGTCTTCCTGTAATGGCTCAAGCTGGCCACAAACTCATGATCCTCTGGAGTCCTGGGATGGTAGGTGGCACCACCACATCCACCCCTTCTTTCTCTCTTCTGTTTTCCTGTGTCACACTGGCTGTCCTGGAGCTCGCTCTGGAGACCAGGCTGGCCTTGAACTCCTGCCCCTGCTGTGGAGTCACAGGCAGGAAATACCATGGCCAGCTCCATCTCTGCGTTCTGAAGTCAAATCCACGATGAATGTTCCACTGCTGTCTGTGGTGCTGGGAACCCAACAGCATCCTCCTGCCCGTGCCTGGCAAGTCCCCCCCCCTCCAGTTACAGTCTCGAATGAAGACTGTTTCCTTCTGAGATGATGTCAGCTTCTGGGAAGTAGGACCCAGTTTGTCTGTGGGACTTATTCTGCCCAAACAAAACTCCCCCACGAAGCAGCTGTGTAGACAAGGTGCACACCTTTCCTGCAAGTGAGTTTCCTCACATGTGAACACCAGAGAGTGTTAAAACTGTTTACACACTGTGTGTGTGTGTGTGTGTGTGTGGTTTTTCAAGACAGGGTTTCTCTGTGTAGCCCTGGCTGACCTGGAACTTGCTCTGTAGACCAAGCTGGCCTGGAACTCAAGTCGATCCACCTGTCTCTGCCTCCCAAGTGCTAGGATTAAAGTGTGTGCCACCACACCCTTCATGGATTAATTTTAAAAATTAATTTAATAATTTTTAAATGATTTTTTATGTGCATTGGTGTTTTGCTTACATGCATGAACTGAAACAGCTGCCATGTGGGTCCTGGGAATTGAACTCTGGTATGGAAGAGCTGTCAGCGCTCTTACCCACCGAGCCATCTCTCCAGCCCTTAAATCTTTATGTGTGTGTCTATATGTGCATATTACATTGGGGCGGGTGCTTGTGGAAGTTACAGATGGCTGTGAGCTGCCTGATGTGGGTGCTGGGAACTAAACTCACTCAGGGTCTTCATTGAAGATGGTATTTCCCAGGCTCCCTTGGAGGTACAGACCATATGCTTGTTTCCTAGCCAACGAGATGCCAGCATACGGTAGTTGTGACTTATGGCTGTGGCTTCCTCCTGCCCTTTCCTTGTGTGGAAGGCTGGCAGTCTGGTGTTTTGTTTGGAGTTTGCTGACCTGGCAGGGACCCATTCCAATGGCCCTGTGACAAGCAGCTCAGAGATACTTAAGTGGTGTGGCCCACATGCCACACCTATAGGTTGCTTTTTTAGTCATTCTTCGTTATGAATAAAAACAGCCAATTACTGAGCAAGATGTTGTACTGGGCACTTAGCATACCTTGTTTTCAAGCTTCATAGCAATTACGGTACGAAATCACCATCCTATAGTTACGTCCTGTTATCTTTATGAGAGTCACAACTATGATCCCTGGTTTACAGGTAAAGAGCCTGAGGCACAAGTGGGTGGCACTTGTTCATATCTGGAAGGCAACTGTGGGAATCTGCTAGCTTTGTAGACTTATACACAGTCTCCCACTTTGTCCCATGGTCATGCAGGAGCTGCAGGGGTCTGGCTCTGCGTTAGTGGATATCAGGGATGTGGGGTTGCAAGGCCATGGGGTCCAGACACTGGAGGGAAGATTTGTACAGGGCCAGGAAGATTGGACAGGACAGAGACAGAACTTGGGGTCAGGCCAGCTATATGGATGGGAACTGACAGCTTGTACAAGGGCGAGGCTGAATCTGAGCACAATGATGTTTCTTTGCTTGGTCGGAGATTTAGGCCTTTTTTTTTTTCCTTTGCATTAAAAAAAATGAGCCGATGTGGTCGCACACACCTTTAATCCCAGCACTCAGGAGGCAGAGGCAGGTGAATTTCTGGGAATTCAAGGCCAGCCTGATCTACAAATCAAGTTTTAGGATAGCCCGGGCTGTTACGCAGAGAAATACTGTCACGAAAAACCTAACTGAGCAAACACTGGAGCTTTGTATGGAGTTATATACCCATAAACCCAGTATTTCAGAGTCCTAGTAATCCAGAGTCAGAGGCAAGGGGAATCAGAACATCTAGGTCATATTTTGCTATCTAGTGAGCTGGAGGCTAGCCTGGTCTACGTGAGACCCTGCTCAACCAAACAGCAAAATCCTAAAACAACCTTGCCTGAAAAATATAAAAGGAAAAATAACTCCCAAACAACAAATTCATTGCACAGATGAAGGTGCAATGTGTCTCCTACGTCAGCACCCACGGGTGTCAAGTTATCAGTAAGCATGGCTGCCCAGAGTCAACGTTCTACAGTGTACATCACTGTCTTTCAGAAAACCCTTCTCCGTGCACACTTAGGTATATACAGCCTTCAGTTTCCTCAGGAACTATTACATTTTTTTGTATGTAAATTTTATTATTTCAGAATTAAGTGATGGGGGTGTCCTATACATATGTTTCTCTTATTGGTTGATGGATAAAACACTGATTGGCCAATAGCCAGGCAAGAAGTATAGGGGGCTACCATTGGAGGAGAAGCCCGGGGAGAAGAAGACCAGGAGGAGCTGCCATGTAGAGGCCAGGAAGCCAGGCCTGGTCAGGTGTTCTCTGGTAAGATAAGGCCATGTAGAAATGCATAGATTAGTAGTTATGGGTTAATAATTAAGACAAAGCTAGTCAGTAGGAAGACCTAGTTATTGGCCAACAGCTTATAAATTAATATAAGTCTTCGTGTGTTTCTTTGGGGCTAATTGGCTGCTGGACCAGGCCGGAAAGAAACTCCAGCAACAATTAGCTTCCTGTATAGTTTGAAACAGTTAAAATAGCTATTTCTAGGTGATGATGATGATGATGATGATTATGATTTGGTTTTCCAAGACTGGGTTTCTCTGTGTAGCCCTGGCTATCCTGGAATTTGTTCTGTAGACCAGGCTGGCCTCGAACTCAGAGATCCACCTGCCTCTGCCTCCCAAGTGCTGGCATCGCCACCACTTGGCTTATTTCCAGATTATTGCAATAAATATTACACACACTAAATTAAATAAAATTTAGAAAAGAATGTTATTAATTGTCTGAATTAGGTTGTAAAAATGCCTTTGACACTGACTAAAGCTAATTTTCCCCTATGCTCCAGGGATGGAGAAGAGGCCTCCCATCCGCTGTGCAATCTCTGTCTCTCTAAGCCACACCCTGGGCCCACAGCTTACTTCCTAAGGCTGACTCCTTAAGGCCAACATGCGCTTCTTAAAGCAACAGTGCCTGTATTACAGCTGATGAGGGAGACACACCTTTGCTTGCCTGTTACCCTCTCCCCGCATCTCCAGCTCCAAGGTCTCTCTGTGTAGCCTTGGCTGTCCTGGAACTCACTCCCGATGCTGACTCGCCTGACGCTGAGCACACATAAATCTTGCCTCTGCTTCCCTTGTTCCTTTCTTTAAGGAGAAAACTGTGTCTCTTGGCTCTCCCCAGGCCTGAGGCTGCAGAGTGCGGACAGGAGGGAAACAGGAGCAGAACAGAGAAGACAGGGTGCAGGTGCCGGCTTGGGGGTGTGGGGTACAGAGGAGAGTTACTGGAGAACCGGGGGTCGCGGTCTGGATGAGGGTTCATGTGACCACCCTACTGAGAGGGCCCGAGGAAGGAGAGCTCTCTGCTCTGTTCTTGGGGTCACTTGTCCACCTTAAAAAAAGGTCAACGTGATGAAGAAAGCCACATCGGCAGGGACCTGGGTGGCCAAGACAGGTCACAGACACGGTGACATACAGAAAGAGAAACGCAGTCTCTCCTTGCTTCTGAATCGCTCGGCCCTGTTCTTGTGACTGCCCCCCCCCCCCACCTCATGTATCCTTGATGAACAGGAAGTGGTGTCCTTGCCTCTTTCCTGGTACCTGTCAGACACACTGAGCCCCGGCCCCTGCAGGATCATGGCTTGCTGTGCACCCCCCCACCCCCAAGCCCCTGGCTAACTCCGGACTCCTGTGGCCCTCCCCTAAGATCATCTCAGAGGGATCTTTGTCGTCCCCATAAGCTCTTCACCGCCTGCCCTGCTAGAGTTTCTCTGTTCACATGCTTTGCCCATCCAATGACTGTATGCGCGCAGACCTTGTCTGTCCGTCCTCATACTCTTCTGGCATTTTCCATAGCGGTTTCTCGGTGCTGAGGGGAAGGCCTGGCTAAGCTGAGGCTCGAAACATCGTAGTGGATAAAGAATGAATGGACGGACGAATGAGTGAAAGCAGATAAGAGACTCGAAAGCGTCCGGTTGCTAGCAGCTGGGTTATCAGGCCAGGCACCCTCCATGAGCACCATTGGCACTGGGCTTCCTTGGCACAATGTGATGTCAGAGTCAGCTGGTCACCTGCCCTGGCTTGGTTAAGGACCAAGGATGATCGTAGCAAACTGTCCCACAGTGTGCTAGGTCATCCTCCAAACATCCTGAGTGAGCCAACTAGTGAATGACCTGGGTGTGGCAGACTCTGGAGCCTTCCGGAAGACCAGGCCTTAAGCAAACGATGGCTGCGGGGATGCCAGGCGCACAGCCCTGCTCTGCTGAGTGTCCCGAGTGCTTTCCCACGTGGTTACGGGGTAGGTCAGGGGAGTGTCTCAGTCACGTGTCTGCCTGCTGTAGAAGGCAGCTGGCTCGGAAGACAGCATGTTGTGGTGCTTTTGTTTATAACGAAAGAGCCCAGCAGTGGCTGGGGCAGATGTGGGCTTGGCTCTGGGCAATCCCTTCTCACCTGGGCATGACGATATCCCACAGATCCCCGGGCAAAGACTGGCACCGTAAGTGGCTTACAGATATCCCACACCAAGGACTCAGAGCCTTGACTGCTGTGAGGCACCTCGGGCTGGAGATGCCACCTCTGCTGATACAGGCTGGCATGGCACAGACCTCAGTCAGGGCCAGCTGCTGGCCTGGAGAGGGTGTGAGCACGGAGAGGGTGTGAGCACGCCATTGTCTCCCTACTCATGTCTCTCCGCCTTTCTCCATCTCGTGTCTGTCTCTTTGAGTTTCTTTCTGTGTCTGCCCCTCATCCCCATGTCTCTCTCTTGTCTCTCATTCCTCTCTGTCTCTGTCTCTGTCTCTCTCTCAGTGTCTCTGTCTCTCTCTGTCTCTGTGTCTCTCTGACTGTCTCTGTCTCTCTGTGTCTGGTTTTCTTTCTCTACTTTTGTTCTTTCTATCTCCTCTCTGTCTCTTTCCTGTCTTTCTCCTCCGTTGCCTCTCTAACCTCTTCCCAGCTCTGTCACTCATTCCTTCCCCTCCTACTCCTCCTCTTCCTCCTTCTCCCCCTCCTCCCCCTCTGTCTCCATCTCTGTTTTTCTCCCCTCCTTCTCTGGTTTTCTTTCTCTCTGCCTCTCTTGCTCAATTGCCCTCTCTCTTCCCGTGAGTCATGACATCCTACTTACTGACTAGTTGGTTTTTTAAGGAGATGGGAGTAAACTGATCTTGTTGGGAACAGATGTTGGGCTCTTATTCTCCGTCATGCTTTTTTAACCAAAACACCGAAATTTATTTTTTAAAATTCCAGGGCAAGACTTTCAGCCCCTCAGGGAGATTAAATTTCACCTCCGTTGCGTTTCCCCAAAGGTCACACACAGATTTGCGAAATGTTGGGGTGCCTGTTGTCAGTGTAGCCCATTCTGGCTTAGGAAATGTTGGGGTGCCTGTTGTCAGTGTAGCCCATTCTGGCTTAGGAAATGTTGGGGTGCCTGTTGTCAGTGTAGCCCATTCTGGTTTAGGGTGTAGGAAAAGGCAGGCTTGGACCCCATCTATGATCCATTCATGAATTCATTCACGAAGCTGCAGGAACCAGATGCGGGTCTGACTGCTCTAGGCTGCTGGCTCTCCTGGAATCAACATTCTCAGAGCTGAATTGAAAATCAGATTCACAGCAAAGAAATAGGTGTGAGCTAGAGGGCGGGGCCCCAAGGATGACTTCCCAAAGAGGTGCCTTTCTGAGCTCGGAGCAGCTCAGAGCCTGGCTTTCTAGGCTGTGGGGACGTCGCATGCAGAGACAGACATAAGGAGCAGGTGGGCCTCCTTCAGGGACAGACAGGAGCGCTGAGCCAGGGGAAATGAATCCATCTTCAATCCACAGATGAAGGCCCGTGGAGTGTAACAGAATTATAGATGACCCAGACGCTGATGTTGGGGTTCAAACTTCAAGCTGAAGTTCAGAAAAGAAAAGCAGCCAGTCACTAGGCCTGACCTCTACCCAGCTGAAATGGCAATCCTGTCCCCATGAATCCTCAGAGGCAAAAGTTCCTGTCTCCTCCTCCTTTCATCCCTTTCTCCACCCAGCCACATCACTCCTGTCTCCACCTCCCTAGTTCCCGGATTGAAGGTGCTGAGATCACCTTTGCGTGGGCTGTTTCTTTCAGGACTGGAACAATTTCGTGTAGTCAGTGTGGCCTTGAAGTAACAAGGACCCATCTACCTCTTTTTTGTTTTGTTTTGTTTTAAGTCAGGGTTTCTCTGTGGCTTTGGAGGTTGTCTTGGAACTCGCTCTGTAGACCAGGCTGGCCTCGAACTCACAGAGATCCGCCTGCCTCTGCCTCTCGAGTGCTGGAATTAAAGGCGTGCGCCACCAACACCTGGCTCACTTTTATTATTATTATTATTACAACAGAGACCACACAGATTTCACGTGTTCAGTTCTCGATGCTGGATTGTGAAGATTCTAAGTGGACCAAGAGGAGAGCCGGTGGTCCTAGAGAGGCTGAGCTAGGTCTGGGGAGCATGAAGGGGAGAAAAGTCCCGCAAGAGTGTGCCCACCTGTGACACGCTGGCATCTGTGGGTCTCCACACTGCCTTCCGGTGTCGCTGCTGACACGCCAGGGTCTTGCGACACAAAGCGTCCCTGAGAGCTGGAGTTGGGGGTCAGACCTTAGCGGGTTCTGTGACTGGCTGGAAACAAGAGTCCCCTTCATCACCACACCAGAGAGGACGTCCTAAAGGTGGGCAGGGGGCACAGATGTCACCGTTACCTACATCTCCAGCCCACATGCAGTCAAGCCTGAGGAGGGATGGTATAAGATCGCTCACGGATTCACACCTTTGTGCCACAACAGAACCTCCAAGTCTACAGATCTGCATGCCAATGGCCCCTCCCTTCCCCCTCCCCACCGGTCCCCCTCCCTCCTGGCCCACCTATCTTTCCTTCCTTCCCTACTCCCTCAGATGAAGCCCAGTGCCTCGAGCTTGCTAGGGAAGCTTGCTGCCACTGAGGCCTGCATGTTTATACCCCCTCAGCTCTGGGAATATATTCTGAGTTTCAGGCTGAGCTTGAGGCAGGAGGATGGCAGTGAGTTCAAGGGATGATGGGCTGTGAAGTCACACAGCAAGGGGATGGGTACCCAGGGAAGCTTGAAGATTTGGGTTTTTTTTTTTAACTGATTGAACACATTCCCTAAGAAAACCAAGATGCATTTCTAGAAAGGGAGGCCTTTCTAGAAGGGGAGAGGTGCCAAGTTTGCTCTTACATATAACTCTGGAAGATGTTGGTGCCTCTTATGATATCATTTAGCCAGAAGAGACGGAGTGTGGAGCAGCCGGTTGGTTGTAGTATCCACAGTCAGAAAACAGAGGGTGGTGGGTGCCCCGCTGCTCACATCTGTTTAATATACCCAGGGTCCCAGCCAGAGAGAGGTACCACACACAGTTTAGGTAGGTCTGCCTGCAGCAGTGCGGGCCCCCAACCACTCAGCGAGTAAGTCAGCCTGCTGGTCTGAATCATTCAGCTGCTGGGCTTTATGCCTTGCCTGCCCTGGGAATCTTCCTTTTAAACTCGAATGAAATTGTCCTTGAGCAGAAGATGGGTCTCCCTGCATCAATGGTCAGATGACCCTCACAGACACGCCCATGGGCCCTCGTTCCAGGTGATCCCCCGAGCCTGCGGAGTTGTCCATAGACAGTGATATCACAGAACCCGTGTGACTCCTCTTGGCTGTGATGGATTCTCAGAGTCCCTCGATGTTTAGTGAGTTTGATTGCTGAACATTCCTTTACGCTGCATGGCTACACGCGGGCTGTGATTGGCTTAATAAGGGAGCTGGCTGGCCAATAGCTGAACAGGATTAGGTTAGGTGGGAGAGCCAGACTGAGAGTGCTGGGAGGGTGCAGGATGGAGTCCCAGGCAGTCACCAGCCGGATGCAGAGGAAGCAGGATGCTCCCAAAGGGAGATAGCAAGCAATGGGCGGCGCGGGGCGGAACAGAACTCAGATAGGAGATGTGGGTTAACTGCGGCTGTGAAAGCTGGTTAGCAAAAGCCTACGCTACCGGCCACGCCTTTATAGCTAATATTAAGCCTCTGTGTGGTTGCTTGGGAGCGGCTTGCGGGATAGAAACTTCAGCCGATGCTTGACGATGTAAGGAGTCTGGCCGTGTGTCTGTAGTCCGCTCTCAGCTCTGAGTTGCCCTCTGTTGTTCTCACATAGAGGCTGGGTTGGGGGTCTGGGAAGGCTGAGCCCCACTTCCTTACAACACCCCTTGACATTCACTTCCTGACCTGACCGGAGTTGCCTGGCTGAGCCAGGGTTTCCCACTGTGCAGCCCCTCCCCCCTTCGGATTCCTTGTCCACTCTTCTTGGCTTGACTTGGCTAGGAGTCCACAGCGACACAGGAATATGACCTTGGGATGCTTAAAGAAATAGCCAGCAGTCACGAGGCAGAGGTAGGTGGATCTCTCAGTTTGAGGCCAGCCTGGTCTACAGAGCAAGTTCTAGGACAGCCAGAGAAACCCTGCCTCAGGGGGGAAGAAAAAAACAAAAACAAAACCCAACAACAACGAAAAAAGCCAACAAAAATAAATAGTTCTTTAAAAAATTAGGTTTTATTCATGTGCACGCGTGTGGAAACACATGGAGCTCAAACAACAGCTTTTTAGGAGTTGGTTCTTTCTGCCGTGTAGGTCCTTGAGATCCAAGTGAGCCTTGGTGGCAAGCTCCTTTACCTGCTGAGCCCTCTAGCAGGCCCTCATGCCTGCATTTGGTACAAGAAGGGAGACAGGGTTCCCATCAGCAGAGATGCACCTGGAGTCAAGCGTCTTTAATGGTCTTTTCACAATATGTGGTTTCTTCAGAAAAAGGAATATTCTGTCCCAAGAACAGTCACCCTCAAAAAGATGCTGGGCATGGTGGGATACACTCTTAGGTCCAGCACTTGGGAGTTCCAGTCTAGCCAGGGCTGCAAAGTGAGATCCTGGGGGTGGGAGAGGGGGGAAGAGGGAGGAGGGGAGGGGAGGGGAGGGAGGGAGGGAGGGAGGGAGGGAGGGAGGAAGAGAGAGGTGGGAGAGGGGGATTTAGAAGGGAGCTTAAGTTTGTCTCGAAGGCTGAAAGCATCCAGAGTTGAACCGCTCCTCACACCATGGAGATGTCTGTCTTTTCCATTTCTCAAGGGCTGGGGATGGAAAGCGTTACCTGGACAGCTGTGGAGTTCTTGCAGATATGTGAGGCGTGCCTTAGAAACACATTCATGCTGAAAAGACTGATCTGCGGCATCCTCCATCCTCTGCTCTCATCCCAAGCAAACACAGAACAACCCTCTGTGTTCCTAAGAACCCAACTCCCCCTCCAGCTGTTTTTACAGCTAAATTTAAAGTTTACATTGTTCCCTAGGAAAGGCGACTTTCCCCTGTGCTTTGTAGAAACAGCCAGATATTCGTGGCTTTTTGAAGGCTGGAGGGATGACTCAGTGAGTAAAGGTGCTTGCTGCCAAGTCTAACAACCTGAGTTCAATCCCCAGGCCCCTCATGGTGGAAGGAAGTGGAAAAAAAACAACAAAAAACCCCAAACACCTCCCACAGGATGTCCTCTGATCACCACACGCGCTCCACGGCACGTGCCCCCCCTCCGCGCCGCCCCCAGTAAGTAAGTGTTAAAAAGTCTGCGCTCTGAATCACCGGCGTGGGAAGAGCCAGATGCAGGGTGACATCACTTGAAGGACGTGTTTATGAACAGAAACATTTTCTGTGGATTGTCAGGGGCTATGGAGCCGTGTGGACCACCCACTTATCTGGACACCGTGAAGTTCTCGTAGTATAGGATGTGGGGACCAACTCAGGTCCCGGA